TGGTGGTGGTGGTGCTGGTGGTGTCGTTAGTCGTGTTCTTGGTATCATGATTGTTATTGTTATTGCTTTTTTCTTATTTTTTCAATTTCTGTCATTGTAAGCATTTCAATTTCATCTTGTATCATGCCACGTCATATGATGTATACAAGCAGCTATTAAATCTACCCCGGCGGCCCTGCAAGAGTCTCTTCTGGCCTGCTCCGAGGCCAAAGAAGCCGAAGCCGTGAGCATTAACAGCTGGTGGTACCTTTTCTGCGGGCCCCAAGGATGAGGGCTTAACATGGGGGGGGGGGGGGGGNNTATAGTACCCTTATTGTAGGATCCTTGTTGTAAGGACCCCGAAATAAGGTACCCTAGTTTTCGGAAAGTCCCACATGGCTTTATGCAGCTTCAGCCGGGTCGCTGTTTGCAAGCCCGAGCTGTGCAGTGGCTGAAGAATGCGTTAGCTAGGACTGAAACTGTCCTTGTTGCTGCCTGGACTGCATGCGAGACTTGCAGAAAGGAGCCGCCTCTGGATGCAACAAAGATCTAGTTGCATATGTGTTTTTCGCAGATTTGAGAAAATAGCTGGCTGTTTGCCAGTCCAATCCGGCGCACGGTGTTTTTGGGAAATAACAAGAATGCTTAACTGCTAGCAAAGACTTAATCATACATGAGCAGGTGATGTTTCCGAGCTGTGCAGCTGCCGATGCAAGTTTGCACTGCACGCTGAAAAAATTTCGAACGTCCACGAGATCTCAGGTGCTGGTTAGGCAATGGCGGGTATGACTGCGACTTCCGTGGCGTGCTGCTGGCCTGGTTGTGCACACAGACACGAGTGGCTGCGCTGAACAGATGGCTGACCTTGTGCCAGGGCAACCAGAATGGCATTACTGTGCAGGCCTTTGTGATGCTGGGTGCTTTTGTCGCATGGAGTGCAGACGTAGGTGGTGGAATTTTAACTCTGTCACATTCTGTCACTGTCCTGCAGAGTCTTGCCTAGACGGATGGAGCTCTGACCCAGCATGTTGTAACACCCGCGAGCAGTCAGTCTGGTTTCTGTAGCTGCGTGGGTTTTCTGTTTTGCTGGGCGACTCGGCGTAGCTTGTGCGCGATTTGCAGGTCCTCCCATCATCTTGCCCAGCCTTACACATGTAGGCTTTCGCATGCTGTATGGTGCAGGCTGCGCAGAGGCTGCAGCATGGAAAGGCCCGGAAGCACGCTGCAGAATGTTTGCAGCCGACTGTGCAAGAAAGGGAAGCGTGAGTTCGGCAGGTGCACGTGATGAAAAGCCTTGTGGGCATCAAAGTAAACAAGATGCTGGGCTGCAAATCGAAGGGCTCAGGCTCAGTCCCCGAAGCCCTAGGCCCCAAACCATGGAACACGGCAAAATTCAGCGACCTCTCGGCTTGAAGAGGCTTGTTTTGTTCTGGCGCGCCTGTTTACGCCAGTCTTTGCAGTAAGTAATGATGGAGACCGACTCCGAACCGGAAGGGCGCGTCATCGTAGCCATGTACACGATACCCGGAGCGAGAACGAGCAGTCTCGTTGCTAGCTCATCTGAGGCTTTACAACTTTGGCCTCTATGCCGAGGGTTCGCAGGCCACCGTTGTGGTCTTGTGCTGTGGGCACCAGAGAGGATCGAGACTCTGTTCACAGACTCCTGTTGTCGTGTACCTCTTGCTTCTTGTTCTTTGCTGCTCTTCTCGGCTTTCTCTTTTCGCATTTGTTGCATAGAGTATTGCTCAGGAACTCAGCATCTCTCGATGTAGAGATTGGCACAGCTCCCAGCATCCCAGGGCTGTGACGAACCGAAAGGAAGTCGGAAGGCACATTGAGGGATGCAGATGCCAGGGAAGTGCAACCGAACCTGTCTCATGCCGACCCAGGTGCTATTCCAGCATCAGCTGCTTCGCCCTTATACTGTCTTGTGTCAAGACCCAGTAATGTTGCTCTTCACGTTTGCCCGGTCGGTTCGCAGATGGCAGAACGGGCAGGTGAGTACTGGCAGTACTCCAAGAACGATGGTTGCTGGGCCGGGACCTCAAGCGCTGCGTGGGAAGAGGGAGCACCTGTTCGGTCATCAAAAGATCCATTGACGAGGTCGATGCACCTTCGCTGAGTAGCAAGCCTGCGCCTTACCAACAGAATTCTGCGACTGGCCTCACGACCGCCCAAAGCAAGAAGTGCGTGGTCTGCTCACTGGACGCAAGTACAAGACAAGGAGAGGGAACGATGTAAGCAATGTCGTCGACTACCCCTTAACGGCCGCCAGCGTCACGACTGGCACGCCTGAGGCGGGTCCTTCATCAAAAGGCTTCGGAGCTCTAAGGTTCACTAGCGCAAACAATAAGTAGTATCGCCACAACAAGAAGACGGCAGCAGAAGAAGAGCACGAACAACAACAGCAGCAGTAGCACCAGCACCGCCACCGCCGCCACCGCCACCGCCACCACCACCACCACCACCACCGCCACCGCCACCACCACCACCACCACCACGACCACCACCACCACCAGCAACAGCAACAGCAACAACAACGACAACAAACACAACCAGAGCAGCAGCAACAACCACAGCAAAAACAACAAGAACACTAGTTAGAACAGGAGCAGCAGGCGCAGCAGCAGCAACCAAAACGAGAATGGAAGGCGCTGTAGTAGTAGTAAGCCGAGTTACAGGAACAACAAGAAGAGCGACAGTGTTGATATGGGTCTAGATATATGGGTCTATTAACCCGACGTGATCCGACAGATCTGCAATTCGGTTTGCCGCATGCGTGCATCGAATTTCAGGGTTCCGGGCTTCAGAGTCTGGATGGGTTTAGGAAGGACCTCCGAGTTGTTTGATGCCTGTAAGGGCGTTAGGGGCCCTTGGGGCTTAGCCGAGAGGCCAACAGCATGATCGCTGGGGAGTACATCACGCATTACTGCCCGCCGGAGCAGGCCGGAAGCGGTTGGGAAGATCCCTACAAACGGCCGAGCATGACACTGTTGTATAAACTCATTGGTTGTGTAGTCTCTTCGATCTCTTCGTTATGTTTCAGATGTTTTCGTTATGAGGACTCGAGATCTGAGGGTGAAATCAGCTACAGCCGGACGCTAGCAACATGTTTACTGGCCGCAAGCATCACCAGTGAGCCGATCGCTATAGGGTTGGAGGTCTTTGGGCTGACATTCGATTCGCAGTACCCTTGAATCGCAGTGCATCTTGGCAATGTGATGCGATGTACGATCAGGCCCCCATTCCAATTGTTGCAGGCAGCTCGGTGCGCCTTGCATGTTGCAGAGAATGCGAGAGGATTAGAGAGAGTGAGACTCTGCTTCGGGGTGCGGGTCCTCTCAACTGCGTCTCCTCTCCATTCCCTCAGAGCCAGGCGAGCAGCTTCGTCGTTGATCGCAAGCCTGCCTCGTCGGGTCCCAATCCAACGGCCCGAAGCTCAGACGTCACTTGGAAGGGCCCCAAAGCCCCGGAGCAAGGGTTGACGAAGCCAGAGCCAGGTCCTCTTTCTTTCGCTGCTGCTGGTGGCAGCGGCCATAGGACCGGATGGTTGTCATAGGCAGGCTTGTGCGTGATGCTTGAAGTTTTGAAGCCGCTTTTTGCCCTCAGGAGGATTGGCCTACTACTGCTTCGTTGCAGGTCAGCTTCTCAGACTTGAGCTGGTGAAGACAAGCGCAGACTCCGGACTCCGTTCTTCAACTTCATGCGGTATCATACTCAGAGGGGTGCATGAGGCAAGAAGCGCAAAGGTAGAGATCGAGTGGGCATCAGCCTCAGCTTCGTCTTTGAGCTCTGGTCATGCTGAGACTTTTGAAGACGCAGATTGTTCGACGTATTCGCGACTCTGTGGTGTACACTGCCGCTTCTGCTCGATGACCGATGGGGTGCAACTATGGGCAACAGCAGAAGTTCGCTTACGTTTTTGTTGGCTGGACATCACCCGAGCAAAAGCAGCAACAAGCAGTAAGTATTGGCAATCGTGCAGATGTCAGCAGTTCGAGTGCACGTCAGTGCCGCCAGTGTAACTGTGCAGTAGAAGCTTGTGGGAGACATCCAGTTCGCAATGCAAACGGCACTGCCAGCCTTGGACATAGCAGGATCCATTCGAGGAGGATCGGCACTGGAAATCTAATGTAGGGGCCTTAATAATTAGAATAGGGTTTGTGGGGGTTCCTTATTGTAATTATAGCATAATAACCCCAAAACCTTATTCTAATTATTAAGGCCCCTACATTAATGTTCTTGCTGGCTCCTTTGAAGTTCTTTCTCGGCAACTCTTTGAGTGCTCTCAGCAGGCAGCCAAGCATCACAGGCATCTTCCCGGCCGACCACGTCGCGGTCCCGGCGGGAAGTAGCAGTAGTTTGTCATGAGTGTTATTGTTATGAATGAACATAGTTATTATGCTACTACTACTAGTACTACTAGTACTACTACTACTACTACGACGACGACGACGACGACGATTATTACTATTGTTATTGTCATTGTTATTGTTGTGTTTATTGTTATTATCGTTGTGATTATTTGTCGCAGTGTTTTGTTATGACTGTTATGATTAGTACTACTATGATTGTTGGTTTTCGTATTATAATAGTATCATGAGTATTAATGAGTAGTAGCATCATTTTTAGGCAACTTGACACAAGAGACGTCGTGAAGTCGCCCTGTCGTCGCAGGCGCAGCCACGGCAGCAAAGGCAGTGCCAAGGCAGCGGAAGCTGCGAGGGTCGAGGCTGGCCCGCCCGAGGACAGGCTTGCGAGAAAAACGTTTTCCTTGATGAAGCCTGTTTCAGTTATATGTACTAATACCTGTGCCATAATATAGATTTAAGTTACTGATACCGTATAGGGGCAGCAAACGAGGGGCTAAGGCAAGGATATCCTTGCACAATCATTGACTACGTATCCTCATACGGTAGCGGCAGCTAGCTTCGTTGGCAAGAGCCTGCGCAATCTCGTCATCAACGGATGCACAGCACGGCGCTGCAAATAGGAGGGGCCTCGACCAGCAACCAGCCCGGGCAGCGTTCATAACTATGGCTGGGACCGAGATGTCACCAAGCGGCTCCTTGGCGAAACACCGGTGCGAGAGGACTGAAGACAGAAGCAATGAATCAAGAAGGGGTTTCGCAGATCAGCTCTCTTTCCGCATCTGTTCAAGCATAAGCAGAAACGGGGGGCTTCGTTTGTAGCATCATAAAAGGCTTTCCTGTTGCAAACGGCCATTCAAAACTCGCCTTGAGGTTCAAAGAGCTCGGGCAACGCGACAACGTCGGCATCTTGATGGGCAGTGCTCCTCACTGGTCCGGCGCACCGGAAGCCTTGAAAATTCTCCAGGCACTCGGAGCTCAGAGTAAGTCTCTTTAATGGCGTGCCCGTGTTGTACAGGAGGGTGGCCGTGTCAAAAGTAGTGATAAGAAGAGCATGGCCTGGGTATTCCCTCACCAGCATTCCCTCACCACCCCCGGCGGCTGCATATAAACCGGCTTGAATCGGGCCTTGCCGTCTCGGTTTCTCAGAAGACCTCAAGTCCTAAAGCATCCGAAAGCCCTAACCCTCCGAAGCCCTGCAACCCTGAAATGCAAAGAAACCGCTCGAAGCACCAGAAGCCCCAAAATGCCCTGGAAGCTAGTAGCAGGCTACGGCGCCCGCCGCGAACTTCGACTCGACTATGAGGCTGCCCCAGTGGGCTTTCGATGTAGGGCCGTGTGGGGTTCAGGGCATTTCGGATTTGGGCTTTGACTTTTTCAGCATCTGAGGGTTCAGATAGGGCTGGAGTGTGCTGGAAGTTCGAGGTTTAGGATGGTCTAGGTTTAGGGTTTAAGGGCCTTTGGACCTCCAAGAGTTTTCCGGGCTTGATCATAGGGGTTTGCTGAATCTCTGTTCTGATTCCCCATGTTCTGATTCCCTACACCTACAAAGCTCACTTCCCTAAACGCACAGGTCCACTCACACCTTTGAGATTGCCGTTACGCCACGGGACCTGTTGCACATCGCGAACAACAGGCTTGGCTTTGAGAGAGTTGGGGCCCGCCCTATTCTAATTATTGAGGCCTCTATATTTCCTTAAGCAAGGAATGCATTGCAACATCTAACGCCATATTGCGTGCTTACACGCGTATGTATATATATATATATATTGCTTAATTCTGGAGGTCTCGGGCACAGGCTCCAGTAGGAAGCCGGGCCATCAGAAAAAAGCAGACGAAAGCTGGATTGAGTAGTTGCAGGTACCCGTTTACGGCTTGCTCAAAGCTAGAGTTCCCCCTGCACTCTTCCAACAGCAACTTGAGAGTTTCATGAAAATCAGGGACTCCTAAGATGGCACAGCCTGTTCTTGGTCGTGGCCTTTCCTGTAGCGCGGCACAGGACTGTCTGAATCTTAATGAAGTTTGGGTAGCTCGTTCAGTAGGCTTTCCAAGAGGTTGACGCGCAGTGGCAGCCTCGCAAACTAGTGTGCTTCTATCTGAAGAGTGACAGCACTGCTCTGTGGCAGGCGCCGTGATGTCATGACCGAATTTCAGCAAGTACTTCGTGTGCAAGAACCGATGCTGCGCAAACTGAGAAGGCTGTAGACAAGGGCTTTCAGCTGAGTTTACCTGCACGGATACTCTTCCGTCGCCTGGCAATATCTCAGGTGTCTGTGTGTGCGCTTTGCATAACCGTGGTGTCACGAACTGGATGTGCCAAAATCTGGAATGTTTGTCCCACATTCATTGGTGGTTGCAGAGGTGGGTGGCTGAACAACAGTTGCCCCAAGCTGCTGCTGTCAAACCTAGGTCGATTTGCAACATACTCCAACTCTACGAGAAAAGCTCGCATGTGCTTGTATGGCTTTCTGTTATGAGTACAGTGCGCAAATGGCAGCTGCGAGGCCTTGCACCCACAGTCTCCAATTTGAGGGATGGCTGCTCACGTTTTCCCGGGTCAGAGCCGGATTGCACCGGCGGCATCAATTATTTGTCAAGTAGTCGGTGCTGTCGAAAGGAAGTGGCTCGTACTTTAGCACCAAACCTCATATACCCTAAGTCCCAACAGCTCGAAATCCTAAACCCACCACCAACAACAACACCACCACCATAATCCGCCATAAATGTAGCTTCATGGCCCAGGAAAGCCAGGTAGCATCCCAGAACATGTATTGAGAGTGGCAAGCACCAAAGGTGCATCTCGGCTGGAGGGGCGAAGAAATTCTGGTGCAGTTTCGTGTAGTGCTTTTTTGGCAGTCAAAATGTGAATATACATTATATTACATTATATTATATTATATTATACATTATATATATATATATTAACATATTATATATATATATTTTTTTTTTAGATTAATATATATATATATATAAATACACAGAGAGACATAGATGGGAAACGCGAAAAGCGACGTATAGAAAGAGGAGCCTCTGCTCCCAGGCTTGCGTCAACAGTCTGAGGCTGACGAGGACAAGACGGGTTTTTTTACGGGATCGAGAGCTCAAAGCGGTGCGTCACGGTTTACGGTTTAGGGTTTAGGGGTTTAGGGTTTAGGGCTCTGATCCCTTAGATGCTATGTGCTTGATCTCCGACTGCCCTCGAAGCGATCAGGACGACGATGATGTCACTGCCGCTAAAATGGCCGAGATCCCAGTTCTCGCCGCGTCGCCGTCAGTCGAAAGCGAGTCCTTTCGAGAACATTTTGCTTCGATCACACATGTCGATGCCATGCATCAATCAGGCAAACTACGGCGGATACCAGCATGGGGCCCAGAGTTTTCCAGGGCCGCGGCGGCAGCAAGGCAATCACACCATCTGGTTCAGTTGACCCTACCAAGGATTATAGACGGTAACTCAAACCAGCCTCCAGCTACAAGTAGTTCAAATCCCGCGTACTCTCTCTCCCAAAACGTATAGCCCCCTAAACCCGAAGACCCGGAAGCACATGAACTGCTACCAACCCAAAACCCCGCCAAGGCAGGCATCCTTCCAGCAGCCACCCTCTCCGCCGAGGTCCAGCAGCTCAGTCTTCTCTAGACTTGCAGAGTGAGCCAAAGCTTCTAATGCAACTATGTTATGTATCACATTATACAAAATTTACATGTGTATTTTTTATATCGATATGTGTAGAGTAAGGTGTGTATATGTATGTATGTATGTA